TGATTCTATGATTCTATGAAAGTGCCTCTTGGATCTTCGTACCTGTGGGTTTATGATGACGCACAGGAGTTTGCATTCTCCAGCTCAGGCACCTAGATGAAAGCAACATTATGCCACATGCAGTTGTCTCCACACTTCAGCAACAGTTCTCAAACGTGCCTTGATTCCATCTCCTCAATAGCAAATGCACAGATGGAAGTGTGTGCGGGGAGGGGATGAACATGTGGAGGGAAACATGAATCAAGCGCAATCCCATTACGTTTCCTTCTTGAATATTATTTCATCAACTAGACAGGAATAACTTGACAGCTACACAGGAGCACTTACATTTGCATAACATCACGTTCTCGCCAGGCAACCTGGCCTGCCTTGCATTTCTGTCTTTGCAGCCTGCTGTTCATACAGAAAGGCATTCTTAGGGGCAACCAAGGCATTTCTTGTGCTGTCCAAGCGGTGACCTTTCTTGCTTTGACTTTACTTCTGCAAGATGTATGACAACAGGTCTCCGTCACTGCTATGCAGACATGGACTTTGTGTTCACGTGCATGAATCCCTTAAATGCCTATGAAAATATGAAAAGACAGAGCTTTGCATGTCATGACAGATGAATCTGAGTACTTGAAAAGTAGATTGACAGGAAGTCGATAAAAATGTTGCGGTTTGTCCAAGGTCTTGTTTGAGACATGTACCACCCTGGACACTTCTGAAGGGAATTACACCAGGAGTCTCATGGCTCATCATCTGTGCTCTAAACAGCAAGATTCCTGTGTTGAAAAGAAGTGTTACTTGAAATGCAAAAGAAGATAAATGTTTGAGGAGGAGGGTGACTCAGAGTGCTAGTGACAGGCCTTAATTCACCTTCTGGCTATTAACTGGAAATCTTTCCCGAGTACAGTGTATACTCATGTTTAAATACAAATCATTGATCACTATAGCAACCCTTTTATCACATGAAGCACATTCTAGCTCTAAGATAAAAAGGCACTTTTGAACAGAAAGGCACACGCCCACTCATCAAAAGGTAAGGCGAACATCCATGTTTTTTATCTTGCTTTATCAAGGTGATTTTTGTTTTAAAAGAAGGTAAAAGATTGTGTGTGAATTGGTCTGCCCATGTTTTGATTGTTTATTTTGAATTTTTGTTCTGAATGTATTAGTATCCAAACTGAACAGAAGGAACAGATGCTTCTCTTGGGAGATTTAAAAATGGAATAACAAATCAATATGTATTTAATCAGACTGTTTTTCTTTATTATCTTTGGTTTAGCTGTAGGAAAAGTAATAGGGTAACATCTAGAAATGGAATTTCCATTCTGCAAGAAATTCTGACATGCTAGTTTCCCTTCCCACCAACATGAACACAGTGCTTTTTTTTTTTCATTTTTTTTAATTTCCAACAGAATAATATCCAAAAAGTTAGAAGGTTTGACTGAATTGTTTGATTTTGGTAATGCAAAAACTCCATTATGAAATAATTCCAGTGTATGTTCAAAGTAATAGATTAAGTTGGTTTTTTTTTAACCAAATGAAACCAAGAAATTTTATTAATGCCTCAAAATTGACATGAATGAAATTTGAAAAGAATCCCATTGTTTAGTTTTTCCCTATGTAGAATTTTTGCCAAATTAACAGTATCTTGCAAACACTTAAATATTGATGAAACTTTTTGTTGGAAATGTTTCAACAAATTCTGTTGCTTAGTAGATTATATGGGGAATATTACACAAAACCAAGCAATTAACTAGCACTGGCCTTTCAAGAAACATCAGGATCCTTATTTGCAGAGCAACTGCCTATACTTGCAAGCACGACAAAGAACCATATTTTTAAGAACAGCTGGTATCGCAGGGGCAGTTGAACTCCGATGGAGGTCTTATTTCTTCCTTCTCTTTGCAGGAACGTGATGAAGTGAACAGTGTACCTGCTCGTCACAGTGCTCATGAGCCCATCTGTAAATGTGGTGATCTAGATGTCATCTTAAACTATAAAGCCTCAAGTCAAAAGCTGGTAGTTACTGTCTTGGAGGCCAGGGATATCCCGGACAAAGACCGCAGTGGTGTGAACACCTGGCAAGTGCACACAGTCCTGATGCCTAGCAAGAAACAGAGGGGTAAGACAAGTGTTCAGAGAGGACCCATCCCCATGTTCAAGGATAAAATTACCTTCAGTAAGCTGGAGCCAGAGGATTTAAGCAGCCACGCCATTCGTTTCCGCCTCTATGCGGTGCACAGGATGATTGGAGAGAAGATGATGGGAGAGCAGTTGTTCTACCTGAGCAACATCAGCCAGGAAGGGGAAGCAAAGGTGACATTGGTCTTGGAGCCAAGGAGTAATTTGAGTGTAAGTTTGATGAAAGAAATAGAGTTGGTAAAATTGTCCATTGGGTGAACGGAGACCAGCTGTACCTGATATCGTTCATTCAGGGCTGTTAGGATGCAGCTGGTGTATGTGTCCTGCTGTCACATAAAAAGTTGTCTGTAAGGCCCTACACAAAGCTGTGCAATATTAACAACAGCTCAGCTAGCAAGCTTACACAAAATCATGTAGATGTACTCCATCTACACAAGTCACCAAATGCTCTGCTATGCAAAAATTGTAGGTTGGTCCCAGAACCACCAAGGTGAATTACACCTCTGTTTCAACAAGGACAGTAGATCTTGTGCACCTCTGTTTTGGTGGACCTCTATTACTGCCAGTGCCAGAGCTGCCTCGTTTGGCACTAGCTGCTAGCTTGTGGATCTCTGTGTTGTGCAGTTTCCACGTTACCAGAAATACTTAGTAATGTTCCTTCCTTTTCATGACAGATGGAAGTAGAGAGGTGGGTTAAGTGAGGAGGAACTGGTTGTGTTACTTCATAGTCTTGCATGCACATCACAGTCACACCCAGCTCTGGCTATGCCAATCAATTTGTGTAGATGAGCACTGTCATGATTCATTGTCTACTAAAAGCTCAGTCAGAGGTTGTGCACACAAAATGAATAAAACATCACACTCTGGGTGAAGAGGGGAGAGAGAGAGCATCATGGTAGCAAGGAAAGAAAGTAAAAAAATACACAGTACATGACCAAAAAAACTGAACCGCAAAATGCATTCTGTCCAGAAGTCATAGTCAAGAAGATTTACTGTGCATCTGATGTGCTAGGATGTCTGCTTATCTCAGAGGCTTTGATTTACACTAGTGATAACATGATGCAGAGTTCCTCATCTTTAAAGAGAAAGTTCAGAGATGTGTTTCTGTAAAAGTGATGCTCTGATTCTTCTGGTGCCCTATAATAATTCATTTTTAGTCACTGTCATTTCTTAAGAGAGATCTTACTAAACAAGGCTGCAAGATATAAATTAAGGGAGGGTGGTGGTGAATGTCCTGATTCCCTGCAGAGTGCAGACTCTCAACTTAGTCTGTCAGCAATCTCTCACAGTGATAGCGCTTCTTCAACACAGTCCTTGTCGCATGGAGGGGTGCCAGAGCTGCTCGTGGGATTGTCGTACAATGCCACTACGGGGCGGCTGTCAGTGGAGATGATCAAAGGCAGTCATTTCCGAAACCTCGCAATTAATAGGCCACCTGGTAAGTACTTTCACTGCTATTAAATAACACCATTGAGTCAAAATTTGCTTTTTATTTTCTTCCTCGAGATATTCAATTATGTCATTTCTGAGCTGGGTTTCCTTGCAGAGTATCTGATTGAAAATTAAAATTATTATTTCAAATATGTGTGCTGGTAAATTTTACAGTGTAATTGGAGGCAATCATATGAGGACACAGCTGACAGGACAGTTACACCTGAATGTGTCTGTATTGCACATGCCTTTACAACATCTGACTATGGCAAAAGTGCTATTATACCCAAAGCACAGGGTAATTCTCAGCAGATCCATAAAAAGAAAGAAACGCTTTTCAGGTGATTATATGTTGCAGAGGCCCTGCCTGGTGCCCTCGTGTTTCCCAGGGCTCTGTGTTGCTTAGTCCCCTTGCTGAGTGTGAGGTGACCTGGTGCTTTGGGCCCTTTGGGAATCCTGCTGCTGTGAATTCTCTGCTGCTGCACAGAAAACATCTTCTGCAGAAAGAAGATTTGAAAGTTGTTCTTCTGGGTCACGACAGTTGAGTTCCCATCTTCCAGTACCTAAAGGAAAAGATGGATGTTGCGAGGGATGAAATAACGGACTTCACGCCATGATCAATATGATCGATGTGAGCCAATTTATTGCAAAATTATATGCCCTTTTATACATTTGTTAAATGCTTAGCACATGTCAATGATTATGATTGGTTCCTAGCTGATATTATTTGTTAATAAGTGTAGTATCTTTATTAAAAGCAAGCTCTGTTCATTATTAGAGGAAAGCTCGGTTCGTGTAACTTTTTACTAAAGGCGATCTTTGTGTATGTAGCATTTGCTAAAGGCAAGCTTTGTATGTGTAACAACTTGCTAAAGGCGAGCTTTGTGTATGTAGCATCTTTACTGAAAGCAGGCCTTGTATATGGAGCAACCTTGCTGTAAGCAAGCTTTGTTCACGTAGCAACTTGCAGTTTCTGCGTGGTCAGGTGCAGCGGTTTTGTGAGCTCGGGAGCGTTCACAGTTCTTCATTCCCACGGCCTTCAGGCCTTCTTGCTGTAACGTTGTTTCTTCTCCTTTATGCATTGTTCATTCTCTTCTAGGGCCTGTAGTGTCCTGCTTGCTCTAGGCCGAAGCCAGAGTTGCTCAGGCTCAGGGATTCTCTACATGACCATAGTCCTGCAGAAAATCCTCAACAGATGGAAATTGCCTTACAGTTTGTTTAGTTAGTGCCCAAGCTGTAGTTAGTCCATGAGAAGGATAGTGTATGGGCAGTGCTCATGTCCATGATGTAGGTGGGGTCATGAAGACATAGTCCATGGTGTTACCTGCTTTGCTGCTGGGGTGCTGCATTCAGGGACTGAATGGCAGCTGTATTCATCTCCTACTGTCCTTTTGCCTCCTCTCTGAAACCAGCAGCTAACAGCAATGTGAAATAACATTTTTTTGTTTGTTGGTGTGTTTGCTTTTGGGGATATTGTTGCCTGCCTGTCAGAAGTTACTACCTTTGTTAACCTTTGACAGTTCCTTGCATTCAGTGGATTTGACGTAGTATCTCCAGCTTGCAAAATGCTAAGATTGCTTTTGCAGATGCTGTGCCTTTTGTCCCAGAGCTAGCAAAATATTTATGTAATATTTCAGTATATGGATGTAAAACTTTAGTTTCCCCTAAACTGTACTTTGATATATTACAGAAATAATCTGTGTCATTAGTCAGTCCCTCAAGAATTAAGGGCAAGTAAAACACATGGCCTCAGTCTGCACAGTCCTAGCTAGTCTTGCATTAGCTGTGGCAGTGTAAGTATGCATGTGAGTTACTTAAAGACATGTTCTTGTTTGCATGTACATGTTTTATTGAAGGGTGTCAAGTTGGGACCTTTTTAGTAATTTACAGCTAAGGTGGACTAAGGCGAGAGTCTTACCATGTGCTCTAGCAAGCAAGTTAGCCTGTGTTTATATATGCTGCACTGTAGATACATCCTCAAGTTTTGTTCTCAGAAATTAAATTGAAATAGTCCCAGTATAGGTCCAGGTTAATTTGCTGCATTTTTTTCTGGCATGTTTCATGTTTTTATGTACCTACCTGTGGTATTGGAGTTTTGTGTGTTAGCTGCCTGAAGATGAGGATTATGCAGCACTTCTTAAATCAGGCCCTGCACAAGTTGTCTTGCAGCTGGCTGGGTCAAGCACCTGTGATGCCCACTCTTTTCCCATAAACGAAATGTATTCACTGCATAGAACTCAAATAATTGCCTTCCAGTGTACTACTTGCAATATCATGAACAAATTACTGACATTTTTTGGTATTCTTCTACTGAATGTCTTTCTAGGTGCACGTTGTATAGCTTTGTGTGTTGCAGTAAGCTGAGCAACCCTGTAACTCATTGTCTGTGAGTGCTGGGAGGATTGTGTCTCTCCTGGGCCTCTGGTGGGATGGGTTTAACAAATTAGCCATGTGTGCACAGCTCACCTTCAGCATGGGAAAGTTTAGCTGCCTGGGTTAGCTGTCCCATACAGCTTTTAAGCTGGTGGGCACACAGGTGTGCAGGAGCTTGGTTGGCAGCATCTTTAAACCCAAGAAGCATTTTGTGTTTGTTGATGAGATGAGAACAGGAGCAGGATATGAAGAAAAAAAAGGTGTTCTTTTAGGGAGCTTTCATTTTAAATTCTGCTTGAATTTTCCATTTCTGTCTTTGTAGGGCTGTAGATAAACCTAGTTAAATTGGTTTGATAAGCTAGCCAAAGTCTGCTGTCAGTCACCTAAACTAATAGCCCTGATGTTGGATTATAACAGTTCTTCCATCTTCTCTGTTAAGGTTATCTTGAGTTGTTTCTTTGCATGCTTTCTGTTTCCAGATCCGCTTTAGCACTGTCAGACCAGTATCTTTCAGTGTTAGATCAGTTATCAGGTGAAACACAGAAATTCATAAATGATTACAGAAAAATTCCGAAACTGCCACAATCTGCTTCTTTTATTGCAAGTCGCATTGTTTCTTCTGCATTTCACATTGTTCTTTTGCACCTATAAAGTTCCCAGTAGTGTGGTAAGAAGAGGAAAACCCAGTGAAGCAGAAATCAAAAGAAGTTAAAAAGAAGGAAGGAATCCAGCACTTGTCTCAGACGCTGGAATAGCATTTCAGTGATAACTCCTGCAGGCACTGCAGAGGAGTGCTGTGAGGTCTGATTGTTACTGTCTGAAACATGCTGGTGGCTGAATGAGGTGCTCAATAAGTCCTTCACTAGGTGAAAAGTAAAACTGCTATCTCCCTTTCTGGAGGGTGAGCAAATAGCCCTTGTGTTTTCTCAAATACATCCTGTCTGTGGTTCTGTCGTTTGAAGCTCAGAGGGAGTGATTTATTTCCTTAAAGTATCACGGGGATTTCAGATGTAATAGTGCTTCGGGACACTTAAATACCAAGCCCAAACTGCTATTCAGGGCAGCCATTTATGGTAAGACCGAGAGAAGTCAATGGGCAGAATCCATCTTCATTCCCAGCCCTACATGCACAGAGCCTATACTGAATCCTTATGTGGTCCTGTTGCAGCCCTGTGGCTTTAGTACTGTTGGCTGCTGACAGCTGCTGCTGTGGGGAATGACAGGCGAGTCTTGCATGACAGCAAATTCTCCTAAAAGCTGTGCTTTTAGCCCACCTTGACCCTCTTCTCTACCACCTGGGGTCCTGCACAGGTGAGCTCAGCATCTCCTGCAGTGTTTGTGCTCCCTCCTTGGTGTCCTTGCACAGGGAGTTACTGTGTGCAGGACTGTTAAAAAGGATTAGTGTTTGGAGTAGAAATACGTAATAAACTAATAGTTTGGACTAGGTGATCTTTGAAGGTCCCTTCCAACCCCTAGAATTCTGTGACTGTACTGGGGCATTGGTGATTTGGGGTGTTAAAGACTGCAGAGGATAAAACATGGTATTCTGGAGAAGGAAAGGAAGATTGTGAGCGTCTTTGTTTTTCCTGGGCACATCTTATCCTTCACTTAAACCTTTAAATGGGATGCAAAATTAAATTGAGTCAGGTAAATATTGAAGACATGGGTGCTTATATGGGGAGTAACTGGGTTAGGAAACAGCTGGACAGCCTACAGAGACATAGATCTTGCAGGCATCTTCTCTTCAGGTCACATATGTGGGATTTAGGATGGTTTGGTCAAGGATAAGTGTCCAGGTATTGTTCTGGGGAACATGCTGAGTTATAGGCCTGAGTCTACAACCCCTGATCACGCAAATAGATCCATTATCACTCAAAGCACTTAAGAGCACTCAAGAGTATGGCTGCAGCATCGGACTGTAAATTATCAGTGTGTGCCAAAAAGCCTCATGCAGAAAAACATCTTTGGTTCTCTCAGATGTGGACATCCTAGGCATTTTAGTGCTAATGGTTTGTGTGCTGTGCACCTCATTCTCTTTGGTTCTTGTAAAAACCATTAACCTGTGCTAGCATTTTGTGGGCTTTCATATTTTGGTCTGTGGTATTGTATCTTCTTAGAATAAAACCCACTGTGTTCGTTTAAAGGATATTTGCTATAAAAAAAATAACAAGAGGAGCCTACACCACTTGCAGACACATCTTTAAAAATTTATAACCAGTTACATACTACGTGCATGGTAGTAGTACCTTGGGATTGTAGTGATGGACCAGGAATCATTTGTGCTAGTCAGCATGTAAACATGCCACAGAGGTGGTCTCTGCCCACACAATGTTTAACCATCAGCTGCTCTGATGAAGGTTCAGCTCTCTCTCCTCTAATCCAGCCTTCGTTCTTTCCCCTTTTGCATTTCTTTTGGGGTTTATGTCTGTGTGTAATGCAATTTGAGAAGAACTATTGTAAAGATATTCCCCCGCCTAAGAAAAGCCCTTCAAGCTTTTCAGCAGCTGCAGAATTAATCCCACATAATAATTACACCCGTACATGATCATTATTATACCAGCAGCATATTAACCCCATTAAACAAATACAATAGCATTAATGCTGGAAAAGACAGGAGGGAGAGAACAAGCAATC